CCTTTGTCTGTCCAACAGCGTGGAAGAAGCAGTGATTTTTAAGTTGGAACTGCTTTATTCAGTGTGTTTAGCAGTTTTAATCAACGGGTTATTGGAGAGGTGGAGACCTCTGTTGATATCTCTGTTGAACTGCATGAAAACGTTTCTCGTAGAATTTGTGGTGTAACGTCAGAGAGTCTCATAATTTAGGATCTTAAGACAAAGTGGTTTATACCCAGTAAGCCGCCCTGGATGGAGACGTAGGGCGAGTGGTTTCCAGTGAAGAAGGACGTGTCGACGTCGATGCCGTAGATCATCCCCGGTACTCCCAGCTGGATGATGCACCAGTCCTGACCTTCCAGAAAAGGTTTGATAGAAAAACAGAAACATCATGAATTTGTTGTATTTGACCTCAAACACAATCCAACAGACAGTTTTATTTATTTTATTATCAAATATCAAATAATTCTTATCTTATTGTCAGCATGCTTATTAGAGTTTATTCCAGACACTAACCAGGTGTTCTCTTCCTCCTCGTCTCCCATCCGTCCATCCACTTGCCAAACTCAGTGAAGGCAGAAGCGATGAACTGTGGCGGCTCTCTCTGTACAAACATTACACTTCAAAGCTCTCAGTATTTACAGAACAAACCAGGACAAACCAGTGTGAGCATAACATCTTTCAGTTCACTCTGGTGATATTCTCTGTGAAAATATGAGAACTAATAACAACAGACTTTCCTCTTAGAATGTAATAATTACTGAAATCACCAGAACGGAGGCTCTGTTTCTCCTCACAGTGATATTGATCATATATGCTGCTGGTAGGTAAGAGTTGTACCTTCAGCAGGTTGACAGCCGGAGCGAACCATTCGTCTGAAGCAAAAATAACCTGAAAGAACAACATCAGACCTTTTTTTAATCCTAGAAATACACAATATACGATATGTTCTGGGATACTGTAGAAACAGACTCCGCCAGAAGAGGACCCGCTCCCTCTGTAGATAAAAACATCTCATTATAAGGTAACAAAAACACAACAATTCATATTTTCAGGTGGTTATATACTAATGAAAACATATCTATGGAAATTATATTACAGTGATGTTACACACTGCACCTTCATACTGTGTCTTCATATACAAAAAAATGCATAAATGTTATCACAGGTTGATAAGAAGAGAGCAGGTTTCAGGACGAAAAATAAATTCATTATTAACATAGAAACTGCTGTTTGCATTTCTTATGTATGATGTTAGTAATGGAAATATTTTCCAAACATTGCTGATCGTTTTTGTAGTTGAACTTCAGTCTTCATTAGTATCACTGGTAACACCTGTGTTTATCCAACTTTATCATGTCAAAATGGCTGCTTCAGAAAAGGTCTATTGTGAGGCCAAATTAAGTGTATTTATGTGTCCCTGTATTATTAGTCTTAATGTGCTGCTGGCTGGACATTGTATGTGTGCACATGTTGAGTTAATGAATATATTTGTATACCCTAGTGACAGTGTGAAATCCTCACAGTGACTCACCTTCCCACCGACCGCCTCGCAGGCCAGATCATTGAACTGTAGGAAGTCGGGCTCTGCTGATGCCTTCACTGCCGCTCTCCTCTCGGCCATGTTGAGTTTCTACTGAGCAGAAACATTGAAGCAGTTGCTCATCCTGCTGAAGCCTGAAGAATCCGATCAGACAGACTCTGTCCTGCAGGACAAAGTTCACCGACTGCTCACTCGCAGACTGCAGGCTGTTTATTTAAACAGAGTGGGGGTGACTGACTTCATGCACTCGTATATAGAGCCATACAGTTCTGTTAATAAGCAGTGTCATTACAGTCACACTAACAAATACATCTTCATGTACTCACTGTTTATAATCTTCAACTTTATTGACCAGATTTTAGATTTCAAGATACAATACAGACATACAACTGAAGACATTGTGCACCGAACAGGCAGGAGATCTTAATATAGACATTATATAAAGACTGCATGAGTACAGTCTTTATATACAGGCTGTGTTCTGCAGCACCCATCAATCTGTGGAGTCCCGATCTGAAGCCTCCAGTTGGGCTTTACGGCCCTCTCCATGCAGCGGTGATGTACTGCAGGTTGAGCTGCTCTCATTGGCTACTCATGGTTTTTAACTCATCAACTAGAGCTGGACGGACTCACTGAGAATGAGCTGTCAATCAGAAGGTAGCCCCGCCCTAAAGCATACCCTGCTTTATGGTCTGTTTGACTCTAAATGGGACCATCAGTTACTAAATGAACATCATGCTGTATGGAAGAAGACTGAAACTAGAGACTGAGACCAGAAACTCATCAGGGCCAGGCAAACGACGTGTTTACGAAGGGCAATAAATCGAAATGAGGAGTCGAACATTTCTGCATAAGAATGGTATCAGTGTGTTATTGCAACCAGTAGAGCTGCCCCCTGCTGGCCATTAGAGAGAATGCAGGTTTGCGACTTCACAGACCCTAGTTTGTCCTGACCCTTTAGTCCCTGGTCCTCCTGCAGGTCTTTGGCAGCAATACGAGGTTTTTCTCAGCTTTAATAAGGACATTATATTAGCTCGTGTGTTTAGGATGAAGTCATGTTTGATCTATCAATAACTGGAGTGGTGATCAGGGTTAGCTGTTAGCCATGTGATGCAGCTAGAGGAAGGTGACACAGCAGGAGGTTCGCTGTCGGTCTCATTAAATATTCATGAGCTGCAGGTCAGAGCGCAGCAGCAGCTTCCTGAATGCTCACAACAAACCCTGATTTCAGCCCGTTCATCAGTTTTATAGATCACTATAGATCAGTCGATTCTTAGACGACAAGTCGGAACATTTTGTCAACCAAATACACACACACACACACACACACAAACACACACACGAGACATGAATCCTCTTATCCAGCTGCATTAATGAATTTTTCAGGGGATTTAGAGAAGTAAACCTGTGTGTCTGTGTGTGTGTGTGTGTGTGTGTGTGTGTGTGTACCTGCCAACGCCCTCCTTTGGGTGATCTGCTGATTTTAGACTGTGATCTAATGCAGTGGTTCCCTTTGAACTCAGTCACTGCAGGAAGTTTGTGTAGCTTTGGATGAATTTTATATTCAGTATTTTGTTTTTTAGCAATCGTACAAATTTAATCGGCTTCTTTTTCTGACTAATTCAGGGTTTTCATTCAGTTAGTGAACTAAATGCTGGGATATCAGCCTACTGTGTATATTTTTAAAGTTAATTTCCCTTTAAAATTAAAAAAAAGCCTTGCGACCCCCCCCCCCCACAAAGCTTCGGCGACCCCTAGTGAGGGTCCCGACCCTCAAGTTAAGAACCACTGATTCTCAAATGGAAAAACACAAACCCCTATAGGTGCTTTGGAGTACTGCAGGGGGCTATGTGAGTTTATTTTTATTATTAATAAATAAAACTATCAATCGTGCCTCGTTCCTACAATAATCCATAAAAAAATGTAAATGTAAGTTCAATAAACTTCTTAAAATTCCTGTATTCAACGTGATTGTTAACTGCTGTAAAACCTCACAGAGGAAGAACAAACTTATTAACTATCCACCATCTGTCACACATTATAATATTCAGTGAGTCTGTCTGATCAAACAATAAACAATAAACAACACACAACACACAACACACACTCACATTAACCGATCCAACATCTTCAACCAGCATGAAATAAATAAATACTGTAAATATCAAACTGAGCCACTGACTGCATCAGAACCACTCACATCACCTCGATCAATACCAATCAGGCTTAAAGCACTGAGTGAGTGTGTGTGTGTGGTAAATGGGTTAGAGGTAAAAAGATTCCCTCCATCACACTTCAGTTCAGTTAGGAGTTTTTCATCGACAGGAAAACAGTCGAGTCGGTTTGTTTCAGCTCAATAATGAAATCAGTCCGACGAGAAAAGTCTTCATCGATTCGCGTTTCATCAGTCGGACAGTCGCGGAAAAAACAACGATGAAAGTGTCGGGACTGTTTCAACGCGGACCTTCTCTCTCCATGAAGATGCTAACCGTCCTATTAGCTGACTGTACCCAGACTGCGAGCTCAAAGGACCGACGGAGGTTTGTTTACACCAAGGTCAGCTCATCAATACATCACCAAACAGAGTGATGGATTCAAAATGAAGAAAACCACCATCAGAGGGAATCAAACATAAATGAGTCTGAAATCTGGTTTGATTAACCTTCCTACGACGCAGTGACATCACCTTCAGAGAGTCAAAACAAAGCAGCAACAAATCCACCAAAGAAGACCAGCGGACTCTGTTTGGACCGGGACTCACCTGGCTGCCCGGCAGCGGTTTGGTGCGACCGACAGGTCGACTGGCTCTGCCCCTGACCTCTGACCCCTGCTGCTGCTGTTGCTGTTGTCCAGTGTTAGCGGTTAGCCCTGTGGCGCTAGTTGAACCCACTCCGTGGTGGCGGTGCCAGCCCAGCAGGCAGCGCCACTGAGCCAGCTCCCTGAGGAGAGGCAGGCAGGAGGCCGGACACAGCATCGAACACACACACACACGGCTGACACACACACACACACACACACACACACACACACATACACATACACACACATATATACAAACCTTGATTACTTCCAACAGTCCAGATATCACCCAACACAACAACCAGGAAACAGCCGCAGCTTGAAAAAGGAACGGTTCCCCGGTGTAAACTCACTGGACGCTCATTTAAAGCTCTAATCTGTAACATTTCCTCATTAAACATTGTACAAACTCTAGCTTTACGTTCTATATGTAGTTGAGTTCTTCCATTATCCCAA